GACTTACAGGTGAGGAAAACTCAGAAAACTCCACCCACCATCATCGATCATTGATATTTGCATAGAAATGATATTTGACGTTTATTTTCCAGTACGTACGTTCATTAACTATGTATATAAAAGTAAGTACTATCATAAAAAATATCGGGCTCAAAAGCTGAGCTTTAATGGTAATTTGGTAAGACAATTCCATGAATAAAATAATATTTAAATTCAATTAAATTTTATTTAACACTGAAACAAAAGAACAATACATATTAAAATAAGGCTTTTTAGAAAGAATAATTTTATTGTTTTACAAACACGGTTGATCCATTACTATAAATAATGTATATTTTGTCATCGTCGAGATAGACGTCAAAATAGAAACGACATAAACACTATGTTGCTATAATATGATAGATGGATGACACCTATAGCGATCCTCGACTGACATAAAAATTAAATCAAAATGGTGACTTAGAGTCGTAATAATCCTAATAACTATACAGGAAAAAAAGAACTTATAATATGAAACACAATAATCTAAAATTTACAGAAAATAATATACTAATGTAGATCTAACAAAAAACAATAAAATAGGTAACAAAAAATATACTAATCTGCAGACTTGATATTTGGAATACAACAATTAAATATACCTAGCTTGCTGTTTGAAGATTGGCAGAATGAAAATGTCTTTATATCATTTAAATGGAACTATTTTAAAAAAATGGCACCAAAACTGACTCGTTCCACTAGCCAGAGTCACATGACGTAAAAGTGTAAGCTAAAGTGCGGAGTGGGGACACTTGTAGTATATATCTTTATTAACAGACTTCAAAAAAGGAGGAGGTTCCCAATTCGTCGTAATATTTTTTTTTTATGTATGTTCAGCGATAATTCTTTAACACGGTGTCCGATTTTTTGTTAGAAAGAGAGTACTTCAGAGGTGGTCCCATATAAATTTGGTCAAAATCTAATAATTGGATCCATGAGAAAATCCTCAAATTCTTCATTTTTTTATGTACATTTAGCAATAATGCTTTACTACCTTTTCCGATTTATATGATTCTTTTTTTGTAAGGGGGTACCTCAGGGGTGATCCCATATAAATTTGATTAAGATGTGGTGATGGCATCTGCACGATTTTGAAGTCGGTTTTTTTTAATTTTTAATTTCTAATACTTGTTCTACCTCAGTGTTTATCATTGATGATGACACGAATCTTGTTGTCAACATATTTAGCTCATTTAGTATCAGACTTCTATCAAGTAATAGGGGGTGATACAAATATAACATGCCAAAACATTTTTTGAAAAAATATGTGCGCATTCATAATAACTAAACCACTTTTCTGATTATTTATGAAAATGTCTACAGTTCGAAACGCCTTGTATACAAAGGACGGATATGGCATTATATACATACAACGTAACTTCTCAACGTTTAGATAATCATAAGCAATTTCTCCAATAGCACACCTGACCTTCTTTTCGGTGTTTTCTCAAACATACATAATATGACATAACCAGATGTAAGTTCGTTAATTTCCCGAGAATTCGCTATTAGTGCAGAAGGTATACCGATAAATTAAAAACAGTCATAATAACTACTATAGATCCAAATTTATCGTAAGGATCATAAAATCATAACATTTTTAAATACTTATTTAGATCGTTTTCTGCATTGTGTTTAACTTCGGTCCACAAATTAACATAATATGAAACAATTATAGTGTAAGAAAGGAGTTTATATAAATGAGAAATATTACTGGTCCAAGGACTGTTCCTTGCGGTGCACCAGTGCACCATTTTCTGAACCTCACTTAGTTTCAGAAAACTTTTCTCTCTTGGTACCCTATTCTCGAACTCATGAAAGCGTTCCTACAAGATATAATGTCATCGAATGAACTTTTAAATGAATCACCTTGTATTATATATATTTTTTCAAATAGATCTTTTCTTTCTGAATCCATCAATACTCAGAGACCCTCAAACCATACATTGATGGATTCGGAAAAATAAGATATATTCGAAAAAATATAATTATATGGTGATTCATTTAAAATTTCTTACGATGTCGTCATATCTTGATAAATATGACAGACGATGAACATCTGCAAGCGTCATTAAATAGTCCATAAAATATACAAAAAACTTTATTGGTGTTAACAGAGACAACAGAGACGTGTAACTTAATAGAAAAATTTGTTCGGTGGTCCATTAAAATTACATATATGACTTTCTTTCTCTTTTACATTCATTATTTACATATATTTATCTCTCTCCAATAAAACTAACACCAATCTTGGAGGTCGCTGATGTTGCTGGTTTTTTGACGTCGACGTATAGATTAGAATTGACAACTGACAATGTTATGAATGTTGTTATGAACGTGTGCATTTTATTAAAATTAATTTAATTTGGGCTCCGTTTATTTGTTTGAGTCTGATTTTGTTGTTTAATTAATTTTTTTTGGGGAGGGGAATGTTTATTTTCGCATATTATTTTTTGCATGAAGCAATTTCTGAACCAAACTTGCGTTTTTGTGCACGTTTCTTTCTAGCGGTAAGTAATTTCCAATTTATTAAGAAAACTACTATAAAATGTGTGTGTTTAATAATATATTACAAAATGGCTATAATTATTTTAGGTGAATTGGAACAGAGACTTTTGTTCATTAAGTAGGTAGATGAATGTCTCGGCAGCTTCAATGACAGCACAAAGTTGCCACCTACAAATGCATGCTGAGTAAAAAATCTCTGCACATGTGGTATTGGCAAAGGACTTTCGAAATGATTAGAGATTGGCTATTTCTTACATACACCTACCTCTAATAGCCACTTTAGTGGCTATTAGAAGAATATAGAGTCATTTAAACGAAGAAAAAAAAATTGAATCACAAAAGGGCAGAATTTTAAATCAGGATGCATTGGAAAATAAATTTGGGGACATCAGGTCGGTTTTGGATTTTGGAGAAAGATCAATCTCACGAAAAGTTAATTTATCTTGCAGAACAACCAGTAGTTTAAGTAGGATCTGCTATAACTTTATTAGAAGCTTTCCTTAATAATAAATTGTAATATACCAATTGTTTCAAATGAAATTGAAAGAGTTAAATTCAAAATTAGATTTTTCACGGGCAAAATGTTATATTCATTCAAACATCGTAAGGTAATCTATAATTAAAAATTATGGAAAATAGGTATACCCTGGTAAGGGACAACGACAAAAATGTATTCATCTTTAAATAGTGTTTATTATTAATATTATTATTTGTTATATTTGAAAAGTACCTTCTGCTGCAGAGCAGATCGAATAGATTAGACGACTAGTTGGAGTAGGTCCACCTATATAGTCACCAAATTAGAAGACTAGGAAAACTTTTTCATGACTGGGGACACAACAGGAATGCACACGCACAAGATACACAAACAAACGACATAACAGGGGTAAGCCTTCAGCAACGTCCTGTTTAAATGATGATAGTATATCATCCTTCATTCCCTTTTAGAAGGCATGGCATATAAATCTATTGATCTTGATGACTCTAAGAGGAGTTAGCAGGGGGTGTACGGAATGGGTCTAACAGGTTTCGATCCAGTTTACAGGATGGGAACTTACTCGACTCCGGTCCTATACATTTGTGTGAGTGTATGTGTTTGTTTCGTTTCCATGGTTTCTATTAAAATAAAGAGTCATAACATATCGATACCTTTTTGCCAGACTAACGTAAGGATATTTGTTCAAATGGCACTTATGATAGTCTGGAAAAAAGGTACTTTATAAAATATTTGTTACATTATTTTTTAAATATATTATAAATATATAACAACTGTGACTTTCTTTGTAATTTGTCACAAAATGATACGAGGTACTTTCTTAACATAGCAATTGTAGTTTGTTTTTCTGTACCTTACAAAAATATAATTTATAGAAAAAGAGTTTGGTGTATTATTTTTCCAAGTTTAAATATTTAATAATCAATATAATGTTCAAGTTTTTTTTAGCGAAATTTACAAGAGTAATAAAAACTATGTTGATTGCTTAGATTAAACTGATTAAAACTTCCTTTATTAAAATGATTATTTATATGATAAAAAAAATTTATGTAGCTTTTATATTTTTTAATATACAGTGAAACAATAGTTTTTTTTTCTCCTGTAAATTTGTATAGAAAAACTATTTATTTCTGAATCCATGTTTGAATTTCCCGCCCTAAAGCATTTTTAATTTTCCCGCTATTTACTAGTGGCGCCATCATAGACTGGTTGTGGTTACAATCGCCCAAACAACTTTTACCGAACAAAAAAAAATACATTGAGTTACCCGTCTCGCTGGGTTGTCTCTGGTGTTAATTTTCAATACAATCCATAATTGAGCCACAAATTCTGCCCAACCCTGTAGATTAATTTCAGTTTGAAATTGACATACGTATGAAGTTTCTGTCACTTGTTTTTTTTTTAGAAAATATAATACGGACATTTGCACCTCTAGTCGTTAAGAAATAAGCGAAGATTAAAATGACATTGTTAATGAAAAAACTGTCATTTTAAGCTTTGCTTACTTCTTAACTACTAGAGGTGCGAATATTTAAAAAAAAAAGTACGCCACTCAAAAATATCAATAAGGTTGTCTTTGGGTACTGCACTCTGGAATTGATAATTTCGATCTAATCAATTCTAATTCAGCCTTTTACTCAAACAAACAAATCTACCAAATTTCATCAAAATCGACAAAAGAGTATTTATGATATTGATGAAAAACTGATTATTTTTGAAATTTTGGACACCCTGTATCTTCGAAACAAAGCAATTTAGGACACATGTTTATATAAACTTTAAGGAATAGTATGAACCAAGGAATTATCTCCTTCAATTATGACATGATGTTTAGGAACACCTTGTATAGATCTTGTAGCCGAAATAAAATTAAATTTTATTATTAAGTTTTATTCTTCTAAAGTTCAGAATTTGAGCCAACCGCTCGCGCTATGAAAGTAAAAGTAAAATCCCTCACCAATTTTTGATCAATCGAAAGTGTTTGACAACAGCAGCGCTGAGCACCAGGCACATACGACGAACTTTCAAAAAAATTAAAATCTTTTGAATCGAAACTACTTCATATCACAAATATCCGCACTTTCGAAAATATATCGATGTACAATACAATCCATATATGAAAAAAAATCTGCGTATCGCTGCGAATGTTTAATAAAATACGGTGGTGGAAATTGAAATTGCCGCGTTACGTATGTTTCAAGTGAAAAAGTACCGCGAAGACTGAGTAGAGCGCGACTGGCGAGGAGATAGCCAGTGGCCTTGATTCGAGAGTTACCTAATGCAAGAAAAGGAGGGCGTTTGATGGAAATGTAGACGATTATTATTTGCGCCAAGTCGGCCTACGCCGCTTCCTTATTTATATCGGGGGCCTAGAGGAATATAAATCCATTTGGCGATAAACAAACTCATAGTCTTAAGAACTCTGGGGAGCGTATACAAAGCCCGGGGATAAAGAGGATAATTACCCTCTCAATAATTTTTAACATTTTATAGGTACTACAATGTAATATTATCAAAAATAAAGCCTTAAAAACTACAACTGTCCCCCCAGACTTAAACTTTATTGCCACCACCGCTCAAACTTAAACTCTGGATGCGCCACTGCAAAAACTCATGAAACCTTCATCTTCTATAATAACCAGAATAGAAAATATAAAAGTTTAAAAGGGAAATAATTTAAAACTCAAGTGTTTGAAGTTTGAAAAGTACCCGAAAGTTTGACCTGTTCTTTGGGGAAATATCAACTGGTTAAATGAAATGAAAAATAATGTACAACTTTTTAATTAAATAATAATGGAGAATCTTTTGTATAATTGAGAGCAGAATTAAACTTCTTCATTAATGGAGTCTAATGTGGCTATTATAAATTTAATAATAATTTTATATTACACTTCACACAGAAAATATGGTCTATGTATAATAAGAGGGTTATTTAGCTCAAATAAAATATTTTCTAATATAAAAATTTGTTCCATGTAGAGAATTTCAAATGAAAAATAAAAAAATTGAACTTGCCAACAAAAAAGAAAATCAGTCATTATCCAAAATATCATAATCGTCATCATCATCACTGTCATCACCATTAAATTGTTATTACGATTGGACTTATTTCGTTTATTTTATTTTCACGAGTCCACCAATCTTCTATTAGTTTCTCGCACTTGGATATACAGTTCCGCCACACTTCTGGAGTTGCAATTGAAAGTGCTTTCCGCCAAGTTTCCCGAACTGCGTCGTCACTATAACCATTAGGCCCAACATGGTTGTCATAATATTGTATTGCTATTCCCCATATATATATTCGATGGGATTAAACTGGCAATGATACGGTGGCAGACGTAAAACTTGATGACCGTAACTTTCAATAATCTGATCCACAACAAAGGTTTTTGGTTTTGCGTGTATATTTGCCAAGCGTAATAATTCTGATTTTAATATATATTGAGGAAATGGTATATGTTCCTTTGTCAATCATTCTTTAATTTTATCAACAATCCAAGAATTCGTTGGACTTTTGTTTAATACTTTAGAATGGTAAGGTGCATTGTCTAAAATAATTACGCTGGGCTCACTTAAACCTGGGAGAAGTTTTTCATGCAATAATTTTACAAACATTTCTGTGTTCATATTATCGTGATAGTCACTGGATTTTGATTTAGATGAAAATATTAAGTAAGCACCTTCTATAAAACCCAATTTCCCTCCTGCATGTAAAATTATGTGTCGCTTCCCTTCTTCATCGGTAGGTTTGATGGACTTTACGTTATCATCTTGCCATATTCTCTTGGTTGCACTCCTAGAAAATATCCATGTTTCGTCTAAATATATAAAATTCGCCCCTTCTTCTTTAAATTTAGAATATTTTCTTAGAAAGTTAATTCTCTTGTGCACGACAGAACTTTTTTCACAAAGGGCCTTTCTGTTATCCTCCTTTTGAAATTTGAAACCCAAGTTATGTATCACTTGCCATAGACTTGTTCTGCCAAGGTCATCAAATTTTCTATCTATTAATTCCGAGAGAATTGTATTTAAGGTCACATGTTCCTTGTTGGCCCTCATTCGATAAATGGTATCACGAATTTCAAATTTCTTTCCATCTGGAATATCTTTCGTTTTCAATGATGGGCGAGTTTTGCGGAAATCTTCTTTCGGCAGTTCACTATTGTGATTTTTAACCGACTTCAAAAAAGGAGGAGGTTATCAATTCGTCGCGATATATATATATATATTTTTTTTTTATGTATGTTCAGCGATTATTCTTTAACACGGTGTCCGATTTCAATGATTCTTTTTTTGTTAGAAAGGAAGTACTTCAGGGGTGGTCCCATATAAATTTAGTCAAAATCTAATAATTGGGTCCATGAGAAAATTCTCAAACTCTTCATTTTTTATGTATGTTTAGCTATAATGCTTTACCACCTTGTCCGATTTATATGATTCTTTTTTTGTTAGTAAGGGGGTACCTCAGGGGTGGTCCCATATAAATTTGGTTAAGATGTGGTGATGGCATCTGCACGTTTTTGAAGTCGGTTTTTTTAAATTTTTAATTTCTAATACTTGTGTAATACTCCTCTCAATTTGGTTTCACTAATTCCTAGAGCATCGCATACGCGTTGTTGTACAGACATTACCGATTTTAAAGGACCGCCATTTTCTTTTTCATCCGTAAAATACTTATGTACACTACAAATTAGACTATCTACATCTAACACACGTCTAGACATTTTTAAAATTTCCACTAAATTTACAATATATATATATATATATATATATATATATATATATATATATATATACAATGTCAACACTTGCAAAGAATCAATTCAACTGCATTATTTGTAACAAATTTAGTACCTACCCTAATGTTATTTTAATTTAAATCTGACCATTAGAGCAATTTTACCTAATTTCTTGGGAAGAGACTTATTGTAACTGGTTCTCAATGACTAATTTGCATAATTTTGTTAATCCGAAACCCGCGTAAGTATAGTGAACAGACTGTATTTACTTTTTTTAAAAATTGTCCGTCTGTCTCTTTGGTTCTACCTAGTTCTTGAACTGCGTACTGCAAGTGAGCTTTGATGTAGTTTACTATGGTGCTACCATTTTTTAATCTGTGACTTCCTACAATCTCTCAACCTCCATAAATGTAAGCAAACATTTTATGAAGAATTTTTTTTTTTTCAATTAGGCCTTCGTTTTTTGTTAAATGAGTGGGTATATTTAAAAAAGACGACTTTTTAACTAAATTTTTGAAGGGATAAAACCAAGATATTTACGTTTATATTTTTTTTCGGTCGCAAGGGCTAATGCAAATAATTTTTTTTAAATAAGTATAAACAATTACTCCCTACAAAGATTTTATTGTGCATTTGACCAAAAAATTAGTATTTTTTTTTCTCTATTCGGTGGTAACAATATCTGGAGTTTTGATGATAGTGCCCTTCTGCACAGTCTAATTTTGTATTACCTCCGGAATAAGGGTTACCTTATTATGACCTTTCATCTGTGAAAAATTCAGTTTGTGACAAAAGAGTGAGAGGTAAATCGTTTTCTTGAGCGAATATTTTAATACATACACTTTACTAATATGACAACAGCCGATAGTATACCCTACTGTGTCCCTTAAAATATGTCTTATTCAGGGCCGCACGATATTTGTTAGTAGCAGGGATCCCAGATCTCACAATTTATCGTGAGATCTCACGATTCAGTACTAAGTCTCACGATCTCACGATAATGCGCCTGATTCTCACGATATTTTTTAACAAGCTGCTTGCAGAAAAGAACCTTAGGGTTTTATGTAAAAACGATTCTTTTTAATTAATCAAATAATTTAATTATGTTGTAGAGTCCGACCCTGAAACGTGCTAATACGCTGGCGGAAAAATGACGGACAACTACCACTTGACAGTCCCCAGAAAGTGGTCGAATACTTTCCATATCGATATTTTCCAATATTCCCACGAGTTACTATCAATAGTACTATCGAAACTGTACCAACATTGACTCAACGGTTGGTACGTAGTATAGTAAAATAATACAAAAAGAATATTTGAAATAAAAAATGTAAAAAAACAAGAACCAGTAGGTGCGCAGAGAGATAAGAAAACAGGTGGAGATAGGAGTCACATTTGTGGAGTGCGTATGTTAAAAAATTAGTTAGGGCAACTTTAAAAAGAGAGTTATCATCTAGTGCTGAATTTGCTGAGTGCATTCTTGGTTTATTTTTAATTTTAGTTTTTTTGATCGAATTCCGTGAAAATGAATTTGAAAACTACTAAAAACATGTAAATTTAAACTATCGATAATTACTTAAAATAATCGATAGTTTTCGGTAGTAACACACTATTGATAATATCGATAGTGCTATTGCTAATTATTTTTTATCTTTATCATACGTGTTAGAGAGGTACTGAGATTTAAAAGACGGCTATTCCTTGCTCTTCGCTTGGACAAAGTACATAAAAATCAAAAATACTATATCTATTTCGCTAAACTGCGCATGTGAAGTACAATCTTACGATTTCTCACGATTTTTTCATGATCAAGCTCACGAATTTTGGCTCAGTACATCTGGGATCCCTGGTTAGTAGTTACATCTTCTGGTTATCTCTGGTGAGGAGTATGTGAGTCTATTTGTTGTCAAATAGAAAGCAAGATAGCCGCTTGTAAACACACACAAACTTCTTTACCATCATCGCACTATATTTGCAACCAAACGTTATAAAAAAAACGTACTATTTTATTAAATTTTCAACATTTTGTTGAACATTACTAGAAAAATACGTTAGAAAATAGCATTTTATAATTTTCAACTAAAATCCCAACGTTGAATTTTCAACCAATAACGTTTTTTTATACCAACGTTAAATGTGCGTTGAAAAAACGAGTGCGTGCGCTCATTGGGTAGGCATAATATCCGCATGGTGTCTTTAAGGTCACTAATAACTTTTGTTGGTATTGTAATAGTCCATTTGTGTTCGAGAATCCTAATGTCAGAACTCATTTTGTCTCTTATCTTCTTTTATTATTATTTTCTAGTCTGTCCAGTTTTTTTAATTCTTCCTTTTTCCTTTTTGTTGAATTCTTCCTGTTTATCCATTTGTTTCATTTCCGTATTTGCCACTTGGGCATAATGTATACCAGCCCCCACTAAAGTTTGTTGCCTTCTTATAATTTTCTCTAGATTTTCTCGGTTCACTTAATTTACTGTGTCTTTTTGTTTTGTAGTTTTGTTTCTTTTACAACTTTTACAGTGGTTCAATCTCTATAATTAGCTGCGTACTCCTTTCCACAGTGTATGCACTTAGGTGCTGTACTTATTGTTTTTTCAATCTTGGGTTGAGTGTTTGTTCTCCAGCGTATTTGACTCATCTAGGTTCTCTTTGTACTGAATAAAGAAAAATTGTATTCGTAGGTATACCTATATTAACCTAAATTAATTTTATAGGTATATACAGAGGTTTCTATAAAGATAATTGATAGGTAATTGAATATAACTTTCACGTTGATTCACTGTTAGGCAATATTTAATGTATGCTAGTTAAAATCATATGCGAGACAACAAGACCAAAAATGAGGATAATCTTAAATGATCAATTGATTATTAAATATTTAAATATCTAAATTTACAGCGTGAAGTTATGAAAAACCATCGTTAATACCGAGTGAAATTATTTTCGATATTAATAACGTTGCTATCTAAATAATATTTATTTATTTATTTCGTATGGGAATGTAACTTTCATTTGATATAAGTGACTCAACGATAAGCTTGCATAACCAAATTACATAGGTTGATAAAAAGTTTCTTATTCGCTCTGCGTGAATGTACTTAGGTAGTTTGCAGTTCTAGAACAGAACGGATTGTATGCACGTATGGAAATGTCGAAAGGAAATGTAGGTAAATTTAAAATATGTAGCTGTATACCATAAATTATTGTGTTTGTTACGGATATATTAATATAAAGTATTTTAAAAATTCGATAAAAATTAGTAGGTATACAATATTTTTGTTTATTGCTAATACTCTAATACTCTTACACTCCTGCAAAAACAGGCCTTGTTAAACTCAAAAGTCTATGGTACGTTATAAATGTCTGCTAATACAAAAAGTCCGTGTAAAGTCCTTTTTTTTAATTATTTTTTCTTTACCTTACTGCTTAACAAATAAATTAAAACTATAAGAAATAGTTCCATTTATTACAAAAGAATTGGTATGTTTGTATTATTTTAATAGTAAACTTTGTAGGACAAAATAATATTAAAAATTAAAAATGTTCTCCTGTAAATGGATAATTTTTGTAAAGTGTCACTTTTGTTTTAAAAGTATATGTAAACTAATATTTGTCAGTTTACAACAAATTGTTAGAAAAAATTTGTATGTATATACAAGAACAAGACACTTACACTGTATACCAATAACTTTGAAATCTGTAGGACAAAGAAGCTATGTATATTTAGGTCCAAAAACTGTTCAATTACTTACCACAGAGAATAAAAGAGGAAAGAGTTTTAAAAAGCAACTTATACCTTTCATAAAAGAAAGTGAAAGAACAGATATTCATAAAATAATAGAGAGTTGAACAAAAACAAAATTATTTTATGTAACCTAGTTTTCTTGGCATATTTTTAATTATGGAACTAAGGTCCGTATTTATAGAATTTACCCACGATACACATACTAAAGGTATGCTGACTTTCGATTCAAAATTCGTCCAAACCGCGCATGACGTAATGCGGGACGAACTTTCAAGTTATTTTGACACTTTTTGATTGAGTAGTGTAAAATGATTTAATAATGTATATGTTTTTGTGTTAGTAGTGACTATATTTCCCTATAGATAACAGGGAAGAACCAAATTAATGTTTAAAATGCCATGCTGCGCAGTGGAGATATTTCCGAATGCCACAAAATATGGGTAAATTCCTATCGAAAAAAGGACAAACTTAATTTAAATTGCCCTATCCATTTTAAGGAAAGTAGTTGTGAGATTCCTTTTAAACATAGACGTAAGAAAAGGAAACTGAAATTCACCAGGTGCACGGGCTTTATTAAGCAAAGAAAATAAATCGGTATTTAAAAATTTTAGCAGATAAAACAGTAGTTTCCTGTCCCAATACAACGGTCCTTTTGAAGTAATGCCATGCATGAGTAGGACACGAACATATATAAGAACAAGATAAATGAACAGGGAAATTGGTTTTAAGTATTTTCAAAGTAAACTTGACAAAAAATGTTTAAATTTACCAAATAAAAAGTGATGTTTTTGTGTAATTACTTTTTGTAAATAAATAATTTGTTTCTGCACACTTATTTTTATTTTACATAATAAGAAAAGAGATTGCAAGAGAACTACTATACGTCCAGAAAGTACAAATTTGAGTCAAACTTGTATTTTTAGTCTATATTTTTTACTTATATCTTGTGGCCAGGTTATGGATTTTGTCACAAAATACCAATAATTTGAGAAAAATTAATATTTTTATTAGTATTATTTACCTTAAACCTTCATATTTGTAAACGAATATATTTCAAAATAACCAATAAAGCTTAAGTAACTGCATAAAATCTAAAATTGGCAAAATATCGAATTTTAAATTTTTATCGAATTTTTAAAACACTCTGTATTAATATATCCGTAACAAACACAATAATATATTGTAGGAAACATATAGCTACATATTTTAAATTTACCTACAGATCCTTTCAACATAACACAAAAAAAAATGGTTTCAAAGTATCTAATATAATATCGTGTCTTGAATTAAGCATTAAAGTAGTTTTTGTTTGTTTTTAAATATTGAAATTTGATTTTAAAACATATTTGGGCACAACGGCTCTGTTAAGTGAGCACGAGCGACCCACTTTTTGTAGTTTTATTTACATATAAGTGAGCAATCTATATAACTAGATATATCATTGGTTACATTATTTGTCAAAATGCCCCTATAAGATATACAACTCACATTACGTTATTGTTTGATTGACATGACATTAAAATTTATTGACATTCACTTCTTGTGTATGTTGCAATGATTGTGTTGGAGTCTTCAAATTCTATATTTAAACAATGCTGTGAATAACTAAAGAATGAATGTTTAGAAGTAAAGACTAACTAATCATGGCCGGTGTTGTACCCAAAAAATCAGCATCTGGTCGAAAACAATGGACATTGCACGGTAAAATCCTATTTTTTCTCAACAAAATTTTGATTTTTTATTTACTTTCTATGCAATTATTTATTGATTTCTAATTGTAATCATAACGGTTCAAATTTGTATTATTTTCAACAGATACTTTTTCTCCGAACTTGTTTTGTAGTGAAAGTGTAACAGTTTTACACGTTTTCATTTGTAGGATCTTCTAAAAATTCTCTTAAACGTTTGAGAAGCCAATTGGCTTCTGACGGTTGTCCAGAGTCCCAAGTAGTTCTTGCCAAACAATTATTAGAAGAAGACTGTGGTAAGTACACATATTTTTTTCTAATTTATTTGATATGCCAATTTTATTTTATTTCTTTAAAATACCGTAAGATTTTTGCGACTTAGACACATTCAAAAAGCCTCTACTAATAACAATTAAATTATTTAATATTTTTATTTGTAGAATTTGAATCTGAGAAGAAGGAAAATGCCCGTTTGGGTGTTTATTGGTTGATAAAAGCATCAGAACAAGGAAATATCGAGGCGACAAACCTTTTAAAGACATGTCTGAACACGGGAAAAGGAATCACAGAGCACAACTACATGGACGTCAAGTCCTGTATAACTATGACACAGGATGAAAAACTTGCTAGGAAGGCAGCTAGAGAAATGTTTGCGAGGTAAGAATGTTATTACTTTGTTCTTTAAACCTTAATTATAAGCAGTAAAAAAAGTGTCAGGAATGTAAAATGGATAGCTCACATCTGCAATGGCTCCAACATTGGAAATTTTCGGGGGTTACAAGACAGGAGAAAGTTTCCAGTGGCAGGAAATTTTAATATTTTACATTTCACGTTCTGCTGCATTTTATTGCTGGTTTAAAAATGAAAGAGAAAATAAGACTATGTGGAGTATTAATACAATGTGACCTAAAAGATCTATTATTATTGTTAAGAATAGGCAAGCAACATAGTTGCTCTTTTAGTTAGTGACAAAAATTATTTTAAATTAATACATGACAGTTTAAACCTAATGTTAATGAAAATTATTTCTTCTTCACATTTTTTTATCCACTCTCGCTTTGAACTGATTTTGAGCTGAGACTGTATGTTCCTGGAAACCATTCCACAGTTATACAGTTTTATTTGTAATTAATTTTTTAATGCAGTTTATTACACTTTTCTTTAATTTCTTTGAGTGACCTCTCAAGGTTCTTGATGTGCTGGCCTGGAAGATATTATCACAGGTGTAATATCCTCTGGTCTGTTTATAAGTTTATATCCTCTAAACTTGAAAGTTGTAGTTAGGTTAGCCAATCACAATACTCATTGTTTTGTAAGGTTGGTGATATTTTGGTGACTCTCCTTTATACTTTTTCCAGCAGTTCAATGTTTTTAACAAATTATGGAACCCAAACGGTCTGTGCAAATTCTAAAAGATCTATTATACCCCCTTCTGGCGCTAATGCAGTGGAACCAGTCTCGATGCCCATAATGACCCTTTCAATCCTACCTTTGGTTTTATTTCCTATTGACTTCTAAGGATAAAAGTAACAAATTGTTATCATACTCTCGTTTAACATATAACACTTCTTAAAAACTCTTTAACATGACTATATATAAATCTCTTCTCTATCTAAATTTCATTGATTTTCATATTGGAAAAATTTGAATTTCTATTTCATTGTATATATGTTTTTAAATCTATTTTTAATCTTTTGATGCAATTTGTCTTTTGTATCTTTTTTTGTATGTCTTTGTCTATACTATCTTTTACTCTTGCCATGTACCAATTGGATTATATCTGTGGCGTACTGCAATAAATAAATTAAATAAATGACAAGTTTGATTTTATCAACATTGTATCCATACTTCCATACCAACAAACTGTAGTCCAAACGGAATTTTATCAGTGATTTATATAAAGTTAGTCTGCATTATTAAATTCAATAATTGTGAGTCAAAATATGTACCTAAATCTTTTGTTTTAGTGACTTTTAATAGAGACGTTGATTCCATTATTGTGATTTATGTTTTATAATAAATGTTAAATATTTGCATTTGTCAATACTTAAGGGTAGCTGATTATGGGTACACCAATTTTATGTAGTTATATCGTTCTGAAGAGTAATGCATTCATCGAGACAAGTGATAGGTCTAAATATTTGCATAATTTGTTTAAATAAAGCAATTCTTCCAATATATGCAACACATTCCTGACATTTCAGTATAGTAACGTTTCCCTGTGTAAGTACTTTTCAATTCGTTCCTCTTTGTTTAAAAACTCATCTCACACGATAATCCAGCCTTCTGGAATGTTTCAACGGCTTCTGGTTTTAGTTTATCGAACGGCGGTGAGTACATCACGTCCGATCAATTAAAGAAGAAAATATTAGCGATAGACCGTGGAGACACGTGTTCCAAATCCACGGAAACCAGCGATATAGACAACGAAACATTCACTGGAGCCGAATTGATCAACGACGATGATGATTACAGTGAATCAGAAGAAGAAACAGACTGGTCGCAACGATCGGACACCAGTAACGAGAAGTTAACGGAAGACCACCTTTTAGCGGCGGCTGTGGATTACTCTCACGGGCAGTTACCAGGATTGAATCAAATATTATGCTTATCCGAACCAGATTTGCGTTCTTTAGATCATATTCCTTTCGTCCATAGATCAATATTACATCCGTTGTTAGCTCTGAAGATACTGTATTACAAAATAATCATGTATTTAGGACAAAACACTTGGCCAATAGTCGGTCCTGTAATTAAATCAGATTTTAGTTTCCTAATTCTGCTGATTGCGTACGTCTTTTACAGCTCTGAGAACGTTTTAAACATATTTCCGATGCTTCTCTATTATATAACGTTCGTTATAATGATTTGTTCGACGTTTCAAATGCTGCAAAACCAGCGAGAGTTTGTGGATTTCCGTTTATGGTCGGGGCTGTTCATTTGCTACTCGGGAGGTAGCTTGAATTCCAATGAAACCGAATACCAATACATTCGGAACCATATGAAGCCTTACGGGCATTTTTTCCTTAGCTTGTTAGTGAATTTGTTCGTGTATTCCTTCATTTCAGAGCAATGGATACCGCAATCTGAGCTAACAATAATTTCTTTCCTGCTCACTTTCATGACTCTGTTAGGGTTTATGCCAAAATCGAGATCGAAAAACGTATTAGACATGTCAGTATTATTTAGTTTCGCTGTTAACGTATTGGCCAAATACCCATACGAAACTGATCCTGTTGTAACGCAAGGTTGGAGGTTTTTGGAGTTGAACATCCCGACATTCCCGAGTTACATAGTCGGGAATGGTATCGAATTCTGTATCAATTTCAGATTCGTGTTGTTCGCTTTGATTCCCGTCATATTTTTGAAGATAGCGCGTTCCCAGAATTGGAGAGGGACTTACAAGACGTTGATTCCGCACTGCGTGACTCTGAGCTGGTTGCAAGTCTGCATAATCAGTTCCCAAGGTGCCACGATGTTCGGGTTCCTTCGCGGTACTTTAGCTCTAGTCGGGGTAGTTTTATTCCTACCTCTAGTCGGAATAACCAGCGTTATTTTACCAGTTGCAGCTTTAACCAAATGGGTGATTACCTCGAATTTTATATATACGATTTGTATATTCATTATATTGAGTACTTTAGGTATCGGTATATGTTACGTTTGCGCTCAAACCAGGTACAAAAAATACACTGCGATTATCCAAATCGTTCTAATGGTTTTAGCGTTTTTCATACTCATCAATTCTTCTAAAGAATACGATAGTTATTTAGAGGATAAAACGCAGCAACCAATGAGCTGGGAGGTGTACCAAAGATTCTGCCATCAACCGGTGTGGCAGGAGGAAAACATCGCTGTGTCCCAAATTAAATGCGCCGGCTTGGAACGGGTTACCATACAATGGAACGGTTACATCAGCGAAATCAAACTCAGATCGGTGACTAATACGTTCAAAACAATTTTCGATAAACTCCCGCAAACCGTATCTCAATATTTGTACTGTCTATACGGAGAAGAGAATAAACCAGACTGCGAAAATATACCAGACATCGTAAAAGAAAACTGTTTATCTTTTTACGAGATTCTAAGCTCGGTCAATCGTTGTTCTTTACAAAAATACGACACATATACATTCGAGATCGTTTTAAAGATGCATTCGGGCATTTGGGGGAAAGCCACTGAAGTTACCTTAATAGCCGACGGTTATTTCAAAGATTTTATATTGAAATTGAAACCGACTGATCACATTTGGTTTAAAGGGAAGCTGTTTAATAACGAAAACGCCGGTTCCGATGGGATTTTGGGGGGTTTGAAGCCGCACGTGCATCTCGAGGAGCTGGGTTGTTCGTCATGTCAGGATAGTAATTTGGGTGATATAAAACTACGGGCGGAATCGGGTATTAATTTTTATAAAGCCTTGGATTCCGTCAGCGTGGGTGCAAAGTTCGTACTAAATGTTATTTTTAGACCGTTTTTAATTTTTAAATAGGAGTGAAATATGTTGAATAAATGTTTATTGAAAATTTGCAGTTTTATTTCATACAAATTTATTTATCGGTCTCGGATAAATTACAGTGTAAATCGTTCCCACTCCATTCGCGGATTTGGGCCGTATGAGTTATCTCTGGATTGGGGTACTCCATCACATGATTGTTACACCCTCTGTACAGTTTGAAGTAATTTCTTTGGCAGTGTTCTTTGTAAAGCCAATGAATGGTTCTGATCCTATAAGCTCAGATGTAGGAACTTTACCTCTATTGCCAACAGATGGTTAGTGGGTGGATACATAACATGTTCTCTCAAAGTGAGCAGTAAACAAGTGTAGAAGATGTGAATATAAGAGGCTTGGTTACGAAGGGATGTCCACAGAGAGGGTGAAGTTTATACAAATTACTCTGCAAACAGGGAATTTTGAGAACATACTCTACGAAAGAATGTAAGTACCTCTCAAAATTACAGAACATTTCTTTTCACGAGGAAAAGGATGAAAATGAAATTAAAACTTCCAGGTTATCTATTTTTAAATCTTGGGGAGTAGAAATTTTGAGGGAAGAATGAGACAAAAATACAAATTTTTGCGCGTTGCAGATAAAGAGGCAAGACCGGTTTTCTATTCCCTCGAATTCAAGAATAGCTCTCCAGAACTCTTGAACCCGTAACTAGACTTTGCAACAGAGGAGAAGTACTTAGGTCTCGCCATACATTGCTTATGAATGCTGTCGAAACGTGGGGCGCACCTGGAGTTTCTCTTCCAAAGTCGTCGCAAGGACTTACACGGCCATCATAAGACCTATGCTATAATATGGTGCAGTTGTGTGGGTACCGAAATCCCAAAAATTGACAGCTATCCGCAAACTAGAACAAATTCAAAGAACAGCATGTCTCAACGTAACAGGAGCAATGAAAACTACACCGACCAGAGCCATGGAAGTCATTCTTAGTTTTACTCCCCTTGATATTTACATTAAGGAAGTTGCTTTGATAACAATGACATGCTTCCTTATTGGAATAGGATCTGGTGAAGCGAGACGTCGCTTCTGGCAGGAGGCGCTCCCACTGCTTCAAGCGAACATGGACTCCCTCACCAAGATATATCTTCCATAAGCCATATAAAGTTATAACAGAACAAATATAAAAGCCGGAAGTTGCAGGTATGATTCATATCTACACCGACGGTTCTAAACCAAAACAAGGCTTAGGATGTGGAATATACTGCAGATCTTTAAACCTAAACATAAAATGGGCTGTGAGCAATAGTGTCAGTGTGGTTCAAAGAGAGCTAATGAGGATTCTCATAGCAGCAAAAGAAATCGCCAAAAATATACTATACATATAGCAGACAGGCACTACTCGTCCTGAACAGACCACGAATTTGCTCAGGGTTAGTAATAGAATGTCACGAAGTTTTGGCTAAAGTATCCATCGACATGTGGTCACCTTAAGATCAATTGAAGGTCACGCCACATCGAAAGGTAACCGTCTTGGTAATTCACTAGCAAAAAATGCGGCCAACCAAATATTTTTTTGGACCTGGCCCTTCTATTGGCCTGACAAAATCGGTAGTGGCAGACCTAATTAAAGAACATTCCCTTATGAAATTCAAGTAGGATGGGATGAAACTGCAGAGTTGCCAGGGAGTTGCTTTTAAGTTATCCTGACAACACTACAGCAAAAAACCCTTGACCATGACTAGAATATGTGTCTGGTCATTGCCAAGTACGGAAGCATCTTCTTATCGTGGGGCTGTCAGAGTCCACACTGCATGGGGGTGCAAACAAGAATATGTAACATATCCTCTCATTTATTAGTAAAAAATTTCTGTTCGGCCGATATAAGAGATGCACCTCTTGGCGACGTCGGCGTCGTCAACTACATTAAATCGGTAGGCCGGCTCACGAGCTATGAGGTGCCTATCATCTTAGGAGTATGCACAATGGGCCTACTGAGCCTAAGTGCTGTGGGATAACCCCTCCTCCACACGTTACAGATACCTCTGTTGCATCTACAATCTTGCAAAATATTAATTCTGATATAATTAATTTCCTAATGAAAAATGACTAAATTATTTATTTTTATTTATTCAAAATTGGTAAGTGATAAAACATAACTTTTCGACCACTTGGCAACTTATATACTACATACACTTTTGTTTGACCACTACTTTTCTTATGTTTAGCTTTTCTCCGCAACTTTTTCTCCTTTTTTACATCAGCCAACGATTTGTTGATGTCAGTAGTAGAATGTGTGTTTTCATTTTTCTCAGAAGTTACTTCTACATTATGGACAATTTCTTCATTACAGTCTTGACTAAGTTCATTTAGTTTTGTATTAATCGGAGATGGAACAATTGATTGGCTGGTGTTAACTTCCACATTTTCACCAACCTATATAAATAAAAAAATATACCTTCAAATCAATTACAAATTTAAATGTTTTGTGTCCAAATAAAATAAGTAATTTAAACTTAACACTGCTGTATTGCAAGGAAATTGAAATTTCAAGTGTTCAAATACCTTTCTAATGTCTGATTTAGATCTAACACATCGACTGCCAACTACGAGATAATACAGTTTGCTTTTTTGGTTAGGATGCCGACTATAACTTATCCCGTAGTTTGTTTCTATGATGAAATTAGTAGTATAACAATGTAAATATGAATAGTTTCTATGAACAAAAAATCAAGGTAGGTTTACATGAACAGAAAATATAATACAAAATTTATGCAAAATCAAGACAAAAAAAATAGCATTTTGATTGTGATTTACTACTATCATTAACGAATTTAGAAGCGTATCTCTAGCTGTTTTTAATAGTATAATATGATTAAATTAAATTGACCTTCTAGCCTGGAATCCTGAAAATTACTGTGGCAATCAACGTGTTAAAAAGTTAATAGCAATCAAGTGAAAAAATAATCCAAATTAGTCCTGGTTAAACTGTTATTGACAAGATATCTTAGAACATGATCAACTTGTGGTAATAACTGTTTACCTCTGGAATCCGCATCCGAAAAGGTTTGGCGAATTTATTAAGCCTTCTCTTTTTGCAACCAATTAGGAAAGCGTTCTTACTAAAATGGTCTACGCATACTCGCGAATATTTTGATTTAGTATACGGAACTTGTAAAATGTCCAGCCATTCTTTTCTTCTGCTTTCATCTAAGGGAAGTTTATAAAATTGTTTATTTACGAAACCCGGATCAGCGGGCCAATAATATAGACTGTAGCAATTTGGAACCAGACATCTATAATGAATTGGTGGCATCCATTCCGGCAACGACATATTTTATTTTCAAAACTATCGGGTTCGGTTAGGCTAATTTTTGGGCTTCTGCTTATTTCGCCTTCTCAAATCCAATATCATCTGTTAACTGTCAAAATAAGGATAGCCTATATATTTTCTCAAATCTGCAAACGTCGATTTGTGACGTCAGGGCAGAACCTTGCATTTATTGTTTAAAATGGCTGCCTGTGGGCATTTACACTGGCAACCCTGTAGATCTGGTAGATTTGACAGGGTCAATGATATATAGTTATTAGATTGATCATACAAGCTAATAAAGTTACAAAAAATGAGCTGGACAGTCACGAGCTAGTGCCGCTACATATATCTACTAAGCTAGCGGATTTGCGCTTTTCTCAAGCTCAGTACAAGTTACAAAAGGGAGACTGGCGTACCGAAAGAGCAACAAAAAAGTTAAGAAAAACCAGCTGGATTCGAATCTGTGCCGCTACTATGGAAATTCGAGCTAGCGGATCTGCTGTTTTTTCAAACTCAGGTCAAGCTACAAATTCACAAATAGCGTAACATAAACCCACCAGGTCTTGTATGGTGCCCCCACAGAGTGCCCACCCGCTTGATATAGCTTTTTAAACCAGGCAGAAATAACGTGTGTCTTTTTATCCAACTGTTGCAGCAACGTTGGCATCGGTGCGGTATGTCAACTGTTATTTATTTCAACGGTCAACCAGAATCCAACACAAAACGCAGGTATCGGTAACTGGTATAGCCCGAGCTGAAACTATATTTTTGTTTCAAAGAACAGATTCTAGATGGCGCTGTACACAACAATTTACAGAAATCTACAATTGATGGTGGAAAGAGTGGGAGTGTCATTTGTCATTGTCAGGCATCCATTATCGATTACCTCGCGGTGAATGACATTTGCCATTTTACCTGTATTTTTTGTGATTATCAAGATCATATTTTCAATAATTATTATTTGTTTGTATTTGGGTGTGCTCTGGATCCTGGATGAATAAATAGTAAGTATTTTGTAAATAATTGTTTATTGTATTGTCAACTTGGTCTTGTTCAATTGTTTTAAATGTTCAATTTGTTTACTTGATCTTGCTGACGATTGGAGCTTATTTTAAATTTTTGTGGTCATCTTTAGTTATAAAAGCTGTAATATATCGTATTGTTGTATGCCAAATTGTTTTGTAAACACTCTGAAATCCTAATAACGATTTATTTCAAATTTGAGTATTGGGTGTTCGCAGTCCATTTTTCAAGAATAAAACAACAAATTTGTAAAAACTATTTAGTATGTGATAAACATTTTGAAGATATGTTTAAAGTTCTTGGTGCACGCAGCGATCTAACTGTATTTTTATTTGTTCTAGTACAAACTTTCTTCAAGCCGTTTGGAATGGCAATATTGGATTGTGGAAGACAAAATAGCCTAGTCTGGGAAGTAATGGTCAGTATACCTTTTTTTATTTATGCCTCACTTTCTGTGCTCCCCAACAGATTTGAAGGGTTCAGGAAAAAAGGGGCCTAGTCACAATTACCAAAATGTTCAGAAAACCAAATTTAATTTAGACTGACTAAATACAAACTTTTGATACTTTAAGGTAATTGATTACAAAAAGATGTTACTTTGTTTAAATGTTGCCTGATTATATTGTAGTTTACCACTTAATTTACCAGACAGTTGTAATTTTTTATTCTAAATACTGAAAATGACAAACAAACAGTAGGAACGTCCTTGGACATAATTTTAAATGCACTGTTTTGCATTTGCTAATACTGGTATTTTACAAAATAGGGCGGACCAGTTCAATTTTGATAAAAATGTGGCTTAGCTGCTTTTTTCTTCCTGTACCCTTCTTGATTTATGAGTTGATTAATATTTATTTTTTGTTTTAGATAAAACTCTTCAACCTCTGTGGACAATGACTTAACTTTCCAGCTAATTAACACGCTACATTTAATTATTCTATTTTGTATGTTTTTTTTGTTTTAATAAATTAATTTTGTTGATCATGCTTTTTAATTTTTTGTAAAAATATTTCAACTTGTAGTCAAGTTAGGATTGGTTCATACTACTCATTTTTTGCTTTATTGTAACAAATATAATTTTATTGCTACAATAAACGTAAAAAAGGAGTTGGTATGAACAAATCTTAATTTGACTACCACTTTTAAACTAAATATTGAAGGACCATTTTGAATGTTCCCGCGTTTTGTGTTAACTAAAGTGACCGCGAGATGGCGCCACTTCCGCCAAATAGTTCAAAGAACGCCCACCGGGTGTTACAAAACTGTCTCAAATTTTAACATTGCAGTTTCCATTCTAAAAGTAATTGTTCTGTGACAAAACGTTCAAGGCCGCATCGGTGAAACAACGGTTGCAACAAACCGGTGGAAAAAAGACACGTTTAGCACTTATGAAGCAATATGGCTATTAGCAATGCAATTCGCTTTGAACAATCTATATAACTATATCATTGACACTATCCTATATGTCATCCCTTCTACATCCTTTGTTTTAAATATATTTAAAATAAAAACAAAATATAACTTAATTTTTTATTTTAAATTCTCCAAAATTGGTAGATGATAGAACATAACTTTTCGACCACTTGGCAACTCGTACACATACACTTTATTTTCACAACTAAGTTTCTTATTTTTATCTTCACTTGTTTTTTTCTGTAATTCAGAAAAAGTAATTGCTGTACCACTGACACCAATCCTATAATCTATTTTCTCGGAATTTTCACTAAATTCATTTGGGACATATTGTTGGTAGCTGTCAACTTCCACATTATCACTAACCTGTATAATTAAAAAAATATATTGAATCAATTACATAAATAAACCACCAAATTGTGGTTTTAAACAAGCATAAGGTAAAAATAATGAATTTAAAATAATAGTTTACCAATGGAGCTGGTACCAAAGGTTTTGCGTATTTATTAAGTCTATCTCGTAAAGTATTTGTAAAGGCTTCTTCGCCAAAATGGTCTCCACATACGCTCATAGAATGCACCGATTTTGGTCCATTAGGAATTCCTAGAATGTCGATCCATTGTTGTCTTCTGTTGTCATCTTTGGGAAGTCGATAAAAACGTTTTTTTTTCACATTCGGTTGAGCTGGCCAATAATATATACTGCTGCATCGTGGTACACTACATCTATATTTATTCTTTCTCCTTACAACAGGAGTTGGCAACATTATTGGCAACATTTTCAGTAAACTTGTTTGCACGAATTGTTTGTTTTTATTTTAAAAGTTTATTTATCTTTGCCTGTCAATCTGTCTTATCAGTCATTTTTCGTGAAAAGGTGTGCCAAATGTATAAAAATAAAAATGTGTGCCAACTGGACAAGCAGTTCCCAAGGATATGTACTAATAAACAGGATAGCTACTCTCCAAAAATCTGTTTGTTATGTGCTCTGTTGCCAAACATTCATTTAGGACGTCACGGCAGAACCTCGGATCCATTTGAATGCATTGTAGAAATAGATTTTATTTAAAAATAAAGTAACAGCAGAGACAACCCGACAACAGATTTGAGAAACTAGGCAATACGTATATAATCCTGGGTACTTCCTATCCCTTGTTAGGTTCGTATTTATAAACAGAACTTACTTGAGTCAGACTTGGGTAAGTGTCGTCCTTGAACTAAAATCGAAGTTCAGTTACAACGTCTCTAAAGTTCTAGGTGGTTCTGGTGTTAAACTGGAATTTAGAGATGGATATTAGCAAATAAGTAACTGTTATATACACTTACAGATTTGTTACTATCCATCTCTAAATTCACGCGATATAACCGAACTTCGATTTTCGTTCAAGGACGACTTACCCAAGTCCGACAGCTGAATTTTGTTTATAATTACGGGCCGTTGGCACACCTTTTTACGATTCGGGTTGGTTGCGAATTTGTCCTTGAGTGAAAGACAGGCGACAGACGAAGAAGAAAAATATTTTAAATGAGAAGTATCAAAAATCAAAACAAAAACAAAAAAATCTATTGAAATTGAAAATAATGTTGCCGTTGCCAAGTCCTGTTGTAAGGAGGAAGTATAATAATTGTAGTGTACCAACATGCGAGAAGCATTATCCGCCTCTTCAAGATAAACGTTTTTATCGACTTCCCAAAGATCCCAAAAGAAGACAGCAGTGGGTTGAAATTCTAGGAATTTCTTCTGAATTATCAAAATCGCGACTTGGATTGAGCGTGTGTGGAGACCATTTTGGCGACGAAGCCTTTACAGATACTTTACGATTGAGACTTAATAGATATGCAAAGCCTTTGGTACCGCACTCATTGGTAAACAGTAAACACACTATTTCAAATTCATCACTTTTACTAAGTAAACTGCAATTTTGTTGATTTATTTTTGTAATTGATTTAATGTATTTTTTTATAATGTAGGTCAGTAATATTGTAGAAGTTGCCACCTCCGAACAATCTGTTCCAAATGAATTAAGTAAAACTCGCGTTGAAGAAAGTGTGCATACAGGTCCAACATCTGAGAAAATACATTATACTATTGATGTCAATGGTACAGCAATATCTCTATCTCAGAACAAATCCGATGCTGAAGTACAGAAAAAAACAAGAGAAGATAAGAATAAGAAAGTTAGTCAGAAAAATGATGTGTCTGTATATAAATTGCCAAGTGGTCGAAAAGTTATGTTCTATCACCTACCAATTTTGAAGAATTTAAAATAAAGTATTCAGTCAAATTTTAATTCTTTTATTTAAAATCTATTTAAAACAAATGCTGATGATTAGGGGGTGACAGAAGTTGAATCATAGATGTAATGAAAAGAGGGACTGTAGTGTAAGGTATGCCAGGATTTATATAAATTTTGAACTAAAGAAACAACTGTAGAAAAAAATAATGTTAAACTCATAGATATGACTTTTGCGGGTTGTTTCAAGAATAGTACTTTACCTTTATTATAGCAGGGACAAAAGTTGGAAAGGGTTTTCACAGTTCTTACACATAAATTGACAGTTTTGCGGCGGAACTATCCCAAGTGGACGTGGAGTATAAAATTATTTTATTGATACTAATAACAATTTTGGGTACATAGTTTAATAAAATGTGAATAGCTGTAGAAATTTTGTAGAATTATGATTCAACTATTATAATACTTGTAATAATTATTATTTCTAGTCCATAACATGGGATTATCCAGTTCCGCCGGTAAATTAAAATAACTTATTTTATAAAATGACATTGGCAAGTAAACATTACTGGTTTGTTTACTCCCTCTCTACCTACCAAAAGCCTTTCCAACTTCAACCCCTGCTATATCCTCTTGATGGGGTGGGTACCTTAGTTGTTAAAGTCCCTTCTTATTTATATATGGGTGAGCAATCATAACTATATTGATTTTTTTACAAGAATTCATTGGAATTGATAATAAAAAAAATTAGGAAAACTCGAGAAAGATTAGTATGGTATTTAACTACATTTGATTAATTCTGGTTTATTTTTTACAGATTCAAGAGCAATTGTAGGAGAAAACCTTAAAACCTAAGATCTATCTACAGAAAGAATTTCTAAAATGGTGAGTTTTTATTTTCTACTTTTATTAACTTTGTTTGACTTGTGGTGATAACATTGTAAGATTTATAAATTTATGGCTTATATAAAGCCTTCATAGAAAATTAAACAGACACTTTCAATGTTCAACTTTTTATTTACCTACCTATACAGTGTCAGCCACTGAATGTTTTCAAATACATTTTGCAAAATTACAGAGAATTCGCATTAGAGCGAGTAGGAAACGAATATCAGCGTTACCAGTTTATATGGCCTGAGTAGTTTTCACACGTACTTGCACAAACCATATTGGAAATCGTTCAATAGACGATAGTATATAAGTTTATGTTAATTTTTGTACTGTGATTTCTGGATTCTACTGTTTTAATTATTCCTGGATTGTCGTCGTTTTACATATCTCTCATACCTGTCCCTGAAACAAATATTTATTTTTTCTTTTATAAATGAAAGAAAATAAGAAATTTTTGAATTTAGGTTATTTCATTCCTTTATATTTTTCAAATTTTCGTGGCCTCTTTCTCGAAGAAATTGAATTAACTTCTATTTTATTTTCTGTTTTCTTGGCCTCTATCTTTTAAAATAATAATTATAGAAAAAATTGGCGTATTTATCGATTAAAACAGGCCGTATCAAAGTGGTCAATATCCTGAACGAAAAAGGCCGGGGTCAAATAGGCTACTTTTCTGAAAGAAAAAGACGAGTATTCTTAGGATGGTGAAGAAGAAGAGTGACATTTGACAGAATACGAATTTTGACATTTCCTTTAAGGCAGTGGCTCCCTGTCCGATATCGGATTCGCAGCTGGGCGTACTCGACGTCCGACCTCGGACATAGAACTTCAAATTCTGTATGTCCTTCGACGTCGATGTGCTGCCGTCTTCCTTGGAGTTTGAGTAATTATTCATGGCTCGTATTTGTTAAGGCGAATACCTAAAGGGGATTCCACAAGGTTTAATTAACCAATTTTTTCTTGGACCTTTAAATTTGCATTTTCTCAAATCGACTGATCATTCTTCCACGACCTCACCAACTACTTTTTTTTTCTTGCAAAAAAATATTTTTTTTTTGGACATAAGGTAGGGTGACCATATTTCTTTTTGACCCAATGCTAGACGTGAGAGGTGCAAGGACCTTTTTGTTAGCTCTTTAACCCAAAGATAAAAACAGAATCTTGTAGAGTTTCACGTTTCAGTAAATTATGTACCTATCACATATTACATTTGCTGGAAAATAACTACGTTTTATTAGACAAATACGGCGATTTGTTGGACAAATATGGCGTTACTTTATGTTTGCTGTACTGGTTGTACAATACATAAGGGGCAACCTAACATAATTATTACGATACGTTTGTAAAACATAAAATCTAGGAGCAGTTTGGTATGCAGCAGTCCACTCTAAAAATACATCGTTAGAAATTGAGTGTTGTTTAATACTGTTTGACGTGCAGCATACAGGGTGTTCCTAAATTCATGCGACAAAATTCAGGAGGCGATTGCTCGTATGAAATTAAGATGGGTCTTTCCTATAACAAAATTTCCTCAGCCCACCCGTTTCCGAGATATCACCCTTAAAAAGGTGGTGACTAAAATTGAGTTTTTATTTTTTTTTTTCAAAAATTTCAGTAAAGCTAGAAACTTGACATTTTGTAATTTTCGTGCACTCGCAAAGGACTAACCACGGGTATTTTTTCAATATTCCTGTTACATTATAGGGGGGTGAAATTAGCAACCCTTACTTTATTTCATATCAAAACTATTTTTCGAGATGAAGTTTTATGAAATAAAATTATAAATTAAAATTCTTGTTTTATTTAAAAAAAAATTATTCTTAAATTTTTTTCCCAAAATCAATTGCTGCAGAGAAAAAAAAATAAATACCATAATTTATAATTTTTTTAATAAATTGAGTGGAAAACAGTAAAGATGTAAAATGTAATACGATTCATAATAAATGCTGGAAATGACCACCTCTAGCCAAAATACATTACCTACAGAATTTCAAGTTTCTAGCTTAACTGAAATTTTAGAAAGGGTTGCGCCGAGGAAGTTTTGTTATAGGAGAGACCCATCTTAATTTAATACGAGCAATCACCTCCTGAATTTTGTTGCATAAATTTAGAAACACTCTGTATAACTTCTTGAAAAGAAATCTTTGTTTTTCTCTTATATGTTTTTTTTATATAATTTTTGTTACATATGAATGTGATTAAGTACCTACTTTATACCTTTTAAGTAAATTTAATTTTTAACCTCTATTGAGTCAGGCAGATTTCACTTAGGTAGGTATATATAAGTACCCACCTTATTATTATTATAAAAAATGTTAAATGTTTCTAATTATAAATTATTAAATCGTAATTTTTACAAAACAATATTTTTTAAACTTATTCCTTAAATAACAATTCAAATTGATCCTAGATTATATGGTATACAGGCATATCGTATATTAGATGTCAGGTACCTGTCCCTTATATGTCCCTAAAAAGACTAATTTACGAGAAAAAAAAGTTGCGGCAAGCGTCGCGGGGAGAATGATCAGTCAATTTGAGAAAATGCAAATTTAAAGTCTGAAGAAAAAATGGACTAATTAAACCTTGTTTATTATGAAATGTTAAAATATAAAATGCAATAATAAAAAGTTAATTCTTAGATGAGTAGTAACACTAGTAACTTAAGGAACACCCTCTTCTTCGCTTTTAAAAATACGACCCATGATGAATAATTACTTATTATGCAATTTAAAGAAAGACGGCAGCACATCGACGCTGAAGGACACAAAGCACATAGAGGTTCCACGTGAATGACCAAGGTCAAAACCGACAACTGACATTTTTTATGCTATTTGCTCCAAACTCTAGATGGGGCTACTGGTAAAATTCTGATTTCTTACTCCATTTTTAAGCTTTATGGGAGAAAAACTTAACCAAAGACTCCAAAGATGTGACGTGTATTTATTTATGTTTTTGGTTAATCTCATTTTTCCGTCTGATTTTAGTGATTTTTTGTTGGCTTTGGCTTTTGGTTTCTGTTTATAGTTTCGTCTTAGTTATTTGCAAAATTGTGATGTTTTGCTTTTCTATTTGCTACTGTGTTTTGCAATAATTTTGGTGCTACCTGTGGGTGCTACGTTGAAAACTTCGAGAAAAACTTATTGATTCACGATGCATCTGCATCATAAAAAGACAAACGGGTATAACAACTAATTGATAATCAATTTATCACTGGACTAGATTCCGAAATCATTTTTCACATAAGAGAGTAATACACAAAGCAGTGGAGTAATACCACCATCTGTATTTGGAAGGAAAATACCTATTTATCATTGAATGAATAGTTAAAATGATTCACCTTTTAATACAATACCTATATTACATTTGTCCTCGGTTTAAAAGACATTTATAAAATATATTATTTTAGTGTTAATAAAATGTAATATCCTAGTCTCTACTTCACATTTAAATTATTGATAGGTATTTTAAAGATTTGAGAGTAAGTATTCGTTAAATATGTATTATTATTTGTATTTATTTTTATCTAATAATATTTATTTAAGTTATTAATAAACATATTTTAAGAATGTTCTATTTAATTATTTATTGATATATCTTATATTTATTTAATAATAATATGCAGAACCAACTCTCCACATCAGACCCCTGCTTATAACAAATTAATTCCTCAAATTTGGTATAATCGACCTAAATTATTTTGTAAAATAAAAGTTTCGAACTTACTTGTTCCATTCTTTATTTTATAAAATAATTTATGTGGAAATCATTTAAAATTTAATTTAAAACTACTACCTACTCCTAAAAATTACAATTTGAATTTACCGCCATCTGTCAATTGTCATTTTAGTTCCAGCTCCAAACACAAGGTGGCGCTAATTTGGTTTAAAAGTTTAACATTTGCTGCGTTTGAGAATCCACATCGGATGCATCTGAGATGTAAAAAATCTTTGATCACGTGATTCAGTATACGTAAATGTAATGGGACAGATGTGTCCGATGTGGATAAAAAAACGCTCGAGATGTAAAAAATGCATCCGATGTGGATTCTCAAACGCGGCAATTGGCGTGGGGTCTCTACATAGAAAAACTAAAAAGAGAAGGTTTGAATAATAGGCGGGAATTGTTTCCTTGTTTGTAGTTTATCATATCGCG